GTTGATAAAGCATATCTGGAGTGCTGCTTTGACTCTTTCATGCATGTTTGAAAAGTCCTTCAATTTCCTGTGGAAGCAGGAAATTGTTAAAAATGTTCAAAATGGCTGGAGGGACTGAATGCCAGCTTTGAGAATGAAGCTCAGCTCCTTCAGACTAGCCAGCAGCAATTAGCAGACACCTGGTTGAACTAATGAGCTCAGTAAATGAGCTGCTTCACTGGTAAAAACGTTCCTGAAGGGTTAATAGAGGAGAAATATTGTGATTCAGAACGAGCAGGAGTTTTTTTTAAAGAGACAGAACCCAATTTCAAGGGATTTTTTTGAGTCACCTTTGACATGTAGAGCATTTTTATAACTGAACATGATACATGTACTTCATTGTGCTGTAAAATGGCACTTTGTGGCTGGAAAAAACATACTTCCCCTTTAAGTGTTCATTAAATTGCCATAGTTAATGAGTCACCATTAATTAGGCTTATTAGTTCTGCATATAAATGCTGTTCATGCATTGTTTGTAAGCTTTAGGGAGACATATTTCTTGTCTTTGTAACGTAACAATTGTGACTGCAAGCCTTCAGTCAGGGTTCAGGGAATACTCCACTCTGATCATCAAACTTGTTTCACATCTTACTTTGAAAAGCAAATAAACTGCATTGTCATTGTTATTTTTTCATTGAAAATGCAATGTAGTGTGTACAAAACAGCTGTTGAAAATATGAAGAGAAATATATACATATATTCTGTATATATTTGAATATATAGAAAATATAATAATATTCTCTTTCTGGAAATCAGAGAATATGTTGCCTTCTCTTGTACAATCACTTCCTGTTTACGCCGTACTTGCCAGTATTAGTCGCTCCTGCTCAAGAACACTTTGACGACAACATTCCCTGTAACAAAGGCTGAACATTTTTCCTTTTACATTAATGAGAAAAAAACATGATGATTAACACAATCGCTGCTGCATAAATTGGTTATTAAGCCACTGAAGTCGATTGGATATTCTGATCCTTTTGTCCCAAAGTAATGGACTACTTGTTTTAGTTTTGAATTCTTGTAAACAATGAAACTCTGATTAAATATATTCATTGCAGAAATATGTTGCGTCTATCCACAAATTCTACGGTTAGTCCTGAGACTGTGAAGGCTGCAGCCAGCGACTCGTCCGTTATGAACGGCTCAGGCTTATTTGAAGTCCAATCTGTTGGCCGGATAGATTTTCAGGGAGGATAAGACAAGAAGGAGGCCAAAAAATGTTGAACTCTGGCTCATTACGTTTCCTTGTTCCAGCCAAAAGAATCAAAGTTAGTGTAATGGAGAGGAACTTTGCTCTGCGACAGACATTTCTGGAGGCGAGATGTCCAGTGTGGAAATCCATTCTGTGCAGAGGGAGCATCTCGGGTGGTAAAACTCCTCCAGGACACTCCTGGGCTTCCCCATCACCGAGACAACATAAATGTAATTTTTAAGATGTCCTCAACTCTAGAGGTCCAATTTGCCCTTCACTTTTTTTTTTCTTTCTTTGAAAGACTCACCTTGCTAGGAGTTGTGTGAGAGATTCCTGTGCAGTTTTGAGCTTAAAATGAAGCCAGCGATTCCCTGAGGACTTATCGATCTCACTCCAAAGTGGTTTTCGTTCTTCTGGTGTCAAATGACAAAGGCAAACGTGGAATTTTCTAATTCGTTGAATGCATGATCTTTCTCAAGGCCTTCTGAACGTGTTTTCCTGGACAACTCTTTGACTCCTCGTGCGGTAATATTTATGTGTGAGCTCTGCGGCGGCGTGGGCGGGCCCGAGGCTTCAGCTGAGATTTAGAGCCGCGGCGCGCCTTTAGTCCCCGGTGGTTGGGCAGGTAGTCACCCGGTGAAAACCTGCGCTCTGCTGTGCACATCTCTCTAATAAAGAGAGCGCTGAGGTATGAAAGCCCCGCAATGACAGCAAATGTTGTGAATAAATTGTTGCTCACACGTCTTACTTCATCACTCCTCGACTCGCCGTGCCACTCCGGCTCCATAATTTGAAATGACGGGCTCTTGATTGCTATTTACAGTGTTGTCGAGGTGAGGGAAAAGATTCAACATGGCGGGTAAACAGATTCGCTGCCACTTTTCCACCAGATCTGCCGATGTTGACTTTATGTCCGCTTGCTGTTTCCGAGCCCCCTCCTCGCTTCTTTCTCTTGCTCGTCTGTGCAGAAGTGGGAGCCGCGACTCGTAACTCGCGACCTTTTCGGGAATTTTCTTCGCATTTTGATTAAATTGACAAGTTAGAAAATCGTGCTCGACATCGGCGAACATTTGTGAAGCTTCCGGGTCCATTAACACCAGCCACTTCAATTAAACTCCAGCTGGTTTGTCTAGAACGTCCGGCTCGTTTGGGGAAGTGTGAATGCGGACCGAAGAAGTGGACTCTGGTCCGTCTAAAAGCCTCTGTTTATGTTCGGTTGAAGTGAACTCTGGTTCGTATGTGGATGCGAGCGGACCAGAGACCACTCCAGGAGCAGGAAGCGGATTGCAGCGCAGGGCTTTCTGGGTAAATGCAATCAAAACAAACATGTGGATCTAATGTTGGCAGGAGAGACGTCTGGTCTCTTGTCACCAAAGACAAGAGAAATCCTACAACCGCTAAAATCTGATGCCTGTCCATTTTTGCTTGCATTTTTGTGGAAAATGAAGTCACTAGTACCTTCCGCCGAGGTTTCCGTGTTTTTTACTGATGCGTCGCCTCCACGGGCGGGGGCATAAAGCAGGTTTTCAGAGCATCATTTTTCTTTCTACCTCCAGTTTGGCTCCAGTACGCTGCCGTAGTCCTGGTACTTTCACATCAATCAGACATTACTTGTATTTTTCTGTCTGTTTTTGTTCCTCTTGTGCTAGCCTCTGTTGTCATGCAGAGCTGACAAGCAGTCTACGTTAGCCAACCCTGTCAATCTAGCAGTGCAACTTCTTTCTGTTATGCTTTTAGTCGCCATCTGACAGTGTGTCATGAGGCAGATTTGACTTTGACAGAAGAATAGTTGGGCTTTTTCAATATTACAAGATCTCATTAATGACTGAAAAGCTTCTTCAAGAGCAGTGGTGGAATATAACAAGATGTCTGCAATATGAAGCATGTTTTTTTTAAATTATTTTTTATTTATTTTGAGAAAGTAAATGTTCCAATAGCAGCTTGTTCAAGTATTTCTTGGAGGTTTCTGGTTCTAATAATAGAGCTGCGTTCAGTACCACAAATTTAATCATTGCTCTAAACGTTAAACAGTCATATTTCAATTCAGCTTCAAACATGAACACTTTCTTTCTACCCGCAGCGCTATGAAGCCGATAAGGTTATATGAGCCGTTTATGTTGTTACTTCTGATTCGCTCATAATTTGTCATCTGAAATTTTCAAGTAAAAAATATAAGAACTTTTGATTTGACTCCTAAATAGTGCTTTCACTAGATGTAAGGGATCAAACCGAGGTTACTGAAAGTCAACAGTATCTCTTCTCTGGCCTGCTGTCAGTCTGCATGGTAAACAAGCTGACCAGTGGGTGTTTTCATCTCGTTCCTTTATTAACTTTGGGTTTTAGCTTCCATATGTGCCAAAGCATCAGGACACAGTCATCACAGAAGCCTGGTTTTGTCGTCTGAATGGAAAAAACTGATCCTGCAGCCCATTAGTAGGAGAGGTTAGTTTTAGAGTTGTCCCATGGAAATGATCAGAAAGAAAAATCCTACACTCTGCTGCACAGAAGTTGTTCTGCAGCTATAAATAACACGTCCGACTGAAGCTGAGGACAAGTTACATGATTTATGTTTTTCCACTAAATTTTGCCCACAATTCCCAGAAATGAAATGTCTGCACTAACTGGGGAGATCTGTAATAAGCCAGCTTGCGTCACACACATTCAAACGTAATAATTTTTCTTTTTTAGTGCACTCCTGAGATAAGAAGTGAACCATTTACTGACCGAACGTTAAATGCATGTAGCAAGCAACCCATGGAAACGAGCAGCAGGGAGGTGATTATCATCCATATTGGTTTACATTTCTACGCTAAAGTTTGATGTGTTCAGGTGGAGCTTTAGTTCTCATCTAAAAATATGCTGAAGCCATTTGTCTGAAACGATAAAACCACTTACATGATTTAAAGAGATGAGCCACTGTGCTTTTATTCTGCGTGCACAAAAGATTTTCATAGTATTTTTCAGATGACTATAAATTCCACAACGTTAGATGGTGCCGCTGTGTTCGTCTGTAGTATCTGGGTCAAGCTCCAGCGCTATCTTGCGATGTAATGAGAGTAAGTGAAAGCGTAAATAAGCTGAATACACAGAAGCAGAAGAAGTTGTGAGCGAGTCCATCGAATATTTCAGTGATTTATCTCCAGTTTTGGAGGAAAAAGACGACATGGAGTGATAAAGAAGCTTTTTTGAGCTGTAAGAGATCTGAGCTGTTTGTTTCAGAGGAACAAGATTTGCTTTCGCACATTTCACAGCTCAGAGTTCATCCACCATTTCACCTATCTGACACCTTTTGACCTTTAGCTCGTGATGTTTTGGCTCATCGGTGCCAATTGAACCAGAGATGTCAGCCCAAGTCAGTGAACTGAGGCATGGTCGTCCGCCTCTGTTGTTGTGGAGCCCAAGAAGGTCCGGATGGCAAATGTGGCTGCATTTGCAAAGCAAGATGTCATTTATCATGTCGGTATGCAATTCAGGTTTAAAAGTTTCTCGAGGTAAAATAGCAGAAATGTTTAATGTAAACGTGTCTGGTGGAAACTAAATAAAAGGAACTTCGCTTTATTCTGCGTGCACAAAAGATTTTGAAAGCATTTTTCAGACGACTATAAATTCCACAATGTTAGATGGTGCCGCATTTTATTTTCTTTCGACACAAAATAAAAATCTGAACAAATTTCTACGACAGCTTCAGAGGATGCGATCGCATGTTACCCGACACGTGAAGGTGGCATGAGAGCGTAAAATAAGTCAGGGTCTCTCTCCGCTCTTGCAGGTCCCGTCGCCGTGATCAGCGGTGAGGAAGACTCTGCCAGCCCTCTTCATCACGTCAACCACGGGATCATCACGCCGTGTACTCTGGACGCGGGACCTGACGCGGTCGTCATAGGAATGACTCGCATACCTGTGGTGGAAAATCCCCAGTACTTCAGGCACGGACACAACTGCAACAAGCCGACAACTCGTAAGTCCGCCATGTTGACTCCGATCCAATCAGATCCCAAAGTCGTGCAGCGCAAAAAAATAAATGTTTCTTCATCTTGAACTATTTGAGCAGATATCTCTACAAGTAAAGGGGACCAAAAAAAAGAGTTTTTTTTAGGTCCTCTTGTGTGAATCTGGTGGAAACATGTAGGCCAGAGATTTTCTTTGAAGCAAGCGATGGTCCTTTGTGAGTGTTTTTGTCATTCATTTTGAATATTATATCTTTCTGTTTGTGTTGAATGTTAGAAATTGAAGTTTATTGATCCTTGAGAAGGTGTTCTTACACTTTTATGCCATTACCATCATGTTACTTGAAAATGATCTGGAAGCAACAATATTATCGTATGTCGCAATAATTTATTGAGACATGTGATGTGTGATTTTGATTCATTGATTGAGACTAAAACTGTACTTTTTAAGAATTTCACTTCACAAGTGGGTTCTGTTTTCTATTGCTGTATGAAAGACAAAAATCCAAATGAAACAAAATATATATAATAATCATGAGAAGAAATGTGGAAAAATCTCATGGGGTGTGAAGGCGCCGTCCATTGTGCACCTGCTGGTCGTCTTTCCCCAGTCGTCCATCAGCTGTGTGTGTGTTTGCTGGCCTTCCACGTGGCCCGGTCCCAAAATGTAAAGGTCAAAAGATGGAGGGCGGGCGGGTCTTGGAGTTGCTGACCAAGCCACAATCGGTTTAAACAGAGCATAAATTCTGCTTTAGATGCAGAATGCATCACAGGGGCTCGTACTGTCGGTGTGCTGGTTTTGTTGAGCTGGTTTGCTGTCTGGATGCCAAACGCTCGTCTCAGAGACGCTCGGCTCTCACACAATCGCAAACCTTAGCAGGACTAAATTTTACTGTCACATATCAGTTCATTTTGCAAAGTGTGATTATCATCCCAAGCCAGCCAAAAAAAGAAACAAAGAAAAAACACCCCATCAGTTTAGTCTCAGCTGCAGCTGTGTGTCTGTGCTGCTGTGTGGCGTTAGCCTCGGTTGGAGAGGTGCCAGATTCTTTATGCGTTTGGGTGAAGACAACCTTCACTGTTCCAGCGACTGGTGTTTATATACTCTCGGCATCCCCTTCCCCAAATCGCCCGCCCTCCACTGGGACTCGTGTTCCAAGTTGGGGAAAAGACAAGACCACTTTAAGGCCTAATTACTCCCAATTAGATCGGCTGCTCAGGAGAATCAGCAGAAAGCAACTGTTCCAGCAGCAACCCGCAGCCTCTCTCCTGCTCCCTCCAATCAAACCGCCCGGGTTTTAAGGGTAAAGACTCTCTCCTCTCGGTCTGATCGCAGTAGGATTCTTTTCTTTCCCACAACCCCGCCCTGTCCAGATTGGACCTGGTCCCGTCTCAAAATGGCCGCACGTCATGCTAACAAAAGTCGGCCTCTGAGTGTGCAGCCAATGAGAAGGGAGGAAAACCCATTTAGAGGTGATAAATAAGTGACGGGTCTTATGTATTATGAATTGCATGAATTTTTAATGTCCAGCCGTTGACTGATTTATAACGTCTCATGTCTCGGACAGGAGATCTGATTGTGGCGCTAATGAATAGATGGCGCTGTGTAGGAGTGGAACTTTCCCCCAGTAACTGTGCGCGGAGAATTAAAAGTCAGTCCATGTGTGTTCGGTGCCTTAGCTTTGACCTGGGCCTTCTCTTTTCTATTTTTTCTTTTTTCCTCTTGGATTTAATTCTACATGCATGCACGTAAAAGGAAACCGTAGGAAATGAGCCCTGAATTCATCACAAGGTCATTATGGCCACTGCTTTCTGCCACTGGCGAAGAAAACATCATTCACTGAATTCGAATGCCTTCTTCACCCTCAGGACATGCACACAAGGAAGGGAAGTTTCTCTGTGTATCCATGTGCAAATGTGTGTTGTGTGGGTGTACTGCTGAAAATCAATCTGCGTCTATACAGGGATGTAGGCGTGCTGACTGTGTGCATGTAGGTATAAAAATAAGAGGGAAAAATGCTCTAGTGTCACCTTATATTCCCTCACTACTTCTGTGATTTGATGTGTCAGGAGTCCCTTTGGTTCCCCTTTGGTTCTCATTGTCCTGCTGGCTGTGCTCAGCACCACTCGCTCGGATACAGTGTGTCGACTAATACATAATGTATTCATTCATTTACTTGAAAGCTTCTTATCCGAGAGGATGGCGCGCTGCTAAAATATACACACAAACGCAGTGGGAGTTCAGGTCGGACAGCTGTGACGCCTGTCTTTACCCGAGTCCATCAGGAGTTCGCTAATGCGGCGGGCAGACTCTTGTTGCACTCTGAGCATTTAAGAGATCAGCTCCTGGAATAGCAACGAAGAGGTAAAATGCTGCCGTCCCCTTTCCACGTGTGTCACAGGGTTCAGTGTTGTGGTCATCTGAAATGAGCCGTCGTCGCCAGGCGTTGTGTGGGATGTGCGGCGGTCGGCAGCCTGAGACTTGACTTGGACTTGTGGTTTAACGTCTCAAGACTTAGACACTGATGTGGGCTAAAGACTCGAGACCTGAGCGACGCTCGATGTCCGAGCCACGGGAGGAAGCTCAAATGCTTTAGGGCCAAGGATTGGAGTTGGCATGGTTGCAAATATTTTCACCAGTTATTGGACATCACATGAAACACGTCGGTCCTCAAAGACTGGACTTGCCTATCTCTGGTCTGAAGACTCAAGACTTTGATACGTGGTTTAAAAACGATCTTTGGCTGTGGGACTAAAAACCAAACGTCTCCTGATGGTTTTAAGAAACTACACTTGATTTAGACTTGAGGGGTATAAAACTTCCTAGGTTGTTTTGAAAGCTTGCAGTTATCATCCAGTGATCCTTGAGGATTGTGGGTTTTCAATAGCAATCTATTCATGTGAACTCTGCCTTCATAAAACCCCACTTCATAAAACTGACCTCATAAACAGATGAACAGTTCAGCTCAGGGGTGAAAAACATTATTTGAATTCATAATAACCTACAACAATACTTTCTTGTAGGCAGATGATATAATCTCCCTACAGGAATATCTTACCGTATTCAATGAAAAAAGTCATTTTTGGTCATTAGACACTTATAAATTGCAAAAAAATAAGTATTTAAAACTTCAATGCTATTAATTCATCTCTTTTCTGAACTATTGTGTTTGACAGTTGCCGTGTCTTTTTTGTTTTTTTGTTTTCTGTAAGAGTTGTAAAAGGCCGTTCCTGGGGAAATGTTGCCGCATTAGCGAGATAAAAGCACAGAAGTCAAAGGACAATTCTTTAGCCTAATGATAGATCTATATCTCGCTAGATCGGCTGTCTCCGAGCAAATGTCTTTGTTTTATCACGCAGCTCGCGATTTTAATTACAGAGTTGTCCCATCCCGCTGGCGAGTATTACACAATAGCGTTTGATGCTGGAGTGTGCCGTGAAGCTTTCCATTATATCCATTTTATTGGGGATATAACTCCTGGGCATAGCTCAGACAAACCTCTCCTCTTTGTCCCCTTTTACTCCTGCTGAAACAGAGACATAATTGTGCTCAAGGTGATGTTTTTTGAAGATTTTAATGTTCCCAGCAGAGACAAAGAGTGACTAATGTGGCTGCCTGAAAGCTTTGTAAGTGAATGTAAATGGGCACTAGATTGATTGAAAGGCAGTTTTCATGTTCCAAGGCTATGATTCCATAAATTATGGTCTGATTTAAAAAAAAGAAAAATTAAGTAAAATAAAGGAGCTAGGAGCCTGGCGAGCTTTGAATTTAAACACTTTCCTTTAGTTTGCTCCCTAAAAAGTCCTGCAGTTTCCCAGACAAAACTCAGACATTAGTATGTTTATTGTTCAACAGATGGCATGACATTGTCTTTCATTTTTCTATAAAAACCATCATATTGTATTATACACTTCTACATGATTCTTCTCCTTTTAAAAACATACATTGTACAACACGGCATTCTTTTGTTCCATTTTCTGAACACGCAGACGTCTAAATTCGAACCTCTATCACTTCCTAATGAGTGTGACAGAACAATGCCCTGCTGATCAGGCGGCTGAGATCCCAACGCGTCGACCCCGAAGCGTCTCAGCATAAAACAGAGCTCCATCATCAACACCTCTCCCCATAAATCTTCCATGAAGCATTTTCTGTTTTTACAGAAACACAATTTACACTGTATCTGCTGGGACTGGCAGCTCAGGGGAGGATAGCAGGCCTCATCTTCGCTAAGATGTCAAATATAGTTGGAAAAGACTTTTAAAGAAACTCCCTGGAGCAGCGAGTGTAAAGTACTTAGTGCCTAAATGTGCTTAAAGTTTAATCCAGCAATAACGCTGGGGTTATGCTCAGGGACAAGCCGCTGCCAAAGGACCCCAGTGACAAGTTTTATCTCCTTATTCTATTAAAGCTTTTGCATGGAAGCACTCAGTGTTTATTATTAGATATAAACCGACTTTAATACATGGAGAGGGAAAGTTCTTATCTCTCAAGTGGGAGTTTATTCATCGTAAATTTGTAACAGTGCCATTTGAATATGTTATTATTTATTATAGCTGTGCTATAAAACCTTAACTATGCATTCAGTGTGTTCATTAGTACTTATGGTAGAAAAATCAGCTATTAATGTAGCAGCTAAAAAATCCCTTAAAGTAACCGTTTCGAAAGCTAAAGTTAGCATCTTTAGCTTTTAGCTTCATCTGGGTTCTCTTTTAAAGTTATTTAAAGTGAAAAATAGCTCTGTGATGCAATTATTCCAATTTTTTAGCAGATTTCAAACAATTTTTGGGGGGTTTAGATTTCAACTTAACAGTAAACAACCTGATCAGAAACGCAAAGCAGAATTTCGTCGGCTTAGTTGGTGCTTTTTGTGATCATAATTCCAGACAAAAGGAGCTGAAACTACAGTAGGATCCAGGATCTTTCGTAGCAGCATCATCACATTAGTTTGAAACCAAGACTTGTTCATCTCACGCCTCCCCAAAACTTACATAGCCCTTGAAATTTTGG